TGAAAAATGCTGCCTCTCGGACGAGTTCTGCGATCGCGTGCGCTGCAGCAGTTACAGTTACGCTGTCAGAGCAGCAAGGCTCTAGGCGATGCTCTGCCCAACAGCTGTGATGTCCTGATCGTTGGCGGCGGCGGCATGGGAGCCTCTTCGGCATTCTGGCTCACTTCCAAGACACGGCAGCAGGGAAAGAAGCTCAATGTGCTGGTGGTGGAGCGCGATCATGCTGTGAGTAGAGAGTCACTGATCTTGACTGCTGACTGTCAACCATTCCCTTCTGCAGTACACGAAGGCATCGACTGTGCTGTCGGTGGGCGGAGTGCGGCAGCAGTTCTCACTGGCGGAAAACATACAAATGGGACTCTATGGCCACGACTTCATAGTGAATAGCCAAATGCATTTGGGCGATGTGGATCTTTGCTTCCAGCCTCACGGCTACCTGGTCATGGCCACCTCCAAGGGAGCCGAAATCCTCACACAGAACTCGAAGCTGCAGAACGAATTGGGTGCCCGCAACAAATTACTCGGCCCGGAGGCCCTGCGCAAGCAATTTCCCTGGCTCTCCACGGACCAAATTGAACTAGGCTGCTATGGCATTGAGAAGGAGGGATGGTTTGATCCCTGGGCCCTGCTGATGGGTTTCAAGAAGCAGGCGCGTTCCTTTGGCGCTCAGTTTGCCAACGGAGAAGTGATTGGCTTCGAGTGGGATGGCGCTGGGGCTTTGTCTGGAGCAGTGGTGGATGCTGGCGATGGCATTCAACGCACCGTGAAGTTCGACACCTGCGTACTGGCGGCAGGAGCTCACTCCGGTCAGCTGGCTAGTCTAGCAAATATTGGCAGCAGCCACGCGAAGGAGGCACTGCTGCGAGTACCTCTACCGGTGGAGCCACGAAAGCGATATGTCTATGTGTTCAGCACGCAGGGCGAGAATTGCCCAGGCTTGGCCACGCCACTGACCATAGATCCCGATGGAACGTACTTCCGACGCGACGGCCTGGGCGGTAACTTCCTCTGCGGACGCAGTCCCTGTGACGAGGAGGAGCCCAACTGTGAGACCTTAGATGTGGATCATGGCTACTTTGACACCGATATCTGGCCCACCCTAGCAAACCGTGTGCCTTGCTTTGAGGCCGTCAAAGTGCAGAGCAGCTG